GAGCCGAGCCGAACGGCCGGAGACAGCCGAGCGCCGCCGAGCGCTGGGCGCGGAGACAGCCGAGCGCACGCCGGGCGGGCAGGGGGCGCACGCCCCGCCCCCGCCCCCAGGACCACGCCGGAGGGCGGGGCCGCGGGGGTCAGGCGGAGGGGGTGTGGCCCGGGGACCTCCAGGCTGGTTGCCAGTCTCCAGGGTCTGGTTTAGGAGCAGGACCCTGGTGCCCGGGGCTCAGGTCCCTGGTGACCAAGACCCAGGGGACAGGGCCACGCAGGCGGCCCTAGGGGGCTCGGTGCAGACACGCAGTTATCCTGCCACCCCAGTTTGGTCCGGGAACGCCTGCGGGGCTGAAACCCATGCACACCCCCTCTAGCCTGGAGGAAGGGGGTGAGGACTGGGATTTTGCACTCGGTCACCAATTCCCTCACCCACCCCAGTCCTCCGATGGATGGCCAGCAGTAGGCCACACCTAGCACCCTTGCAGCGGGTCTCCGGGGGCTGCTGGGGGTGGTGGAGTGAGTTGGGTGCTGCCGGAGAAAAGCACAGAGCCAGTGTGTACGACAAAGTATGAAAATCCTGTATTGCCCTGTACGCACGAGGCCAGTATGCGCCCCGTGCAGCTGGCTGGCACGCTGCAGGCACGTGGTTCTAGGGGTGGGGGTTGCAGTGGGAAAGGGCTCTGACCACCCAGCAGCACCAGCCAGTCCCCCAGCTCCATGTGGACAGGAGAGACAGGCTCTTGTCGCTGAAGGCCGTCTGTGGGCTCTGCTGAAGGGCAGGGTAAGGCAGGGCAGGGTGGGAGGGGCCAAGCCTTCCCCCTGCTTCTCCAGCTCCGGACACCAGGCCTCTCTCTCTGTCAGCGCCCCGACTTCCCTCATTTGTGGGGGCTTAGGGTCCGCAGGGGCGCCCCCTGCACGTAGGAAAGGACTGCGTTTTGCAGGACGCTGGCCCTCTGAGCCTGGTCCTCGTAGATGCGCGTGATTTCCGCCTCCTTGAGCCTCAGCTTCTCGCGCAGGGAGGCGTTCTCACTCTCCTTGTCCAGCAGCGCCTCCCGGTGGTCATTTGAAATCACTGCGGAGAGGAGGCTTGGTGAGGGGTGCTGGCCACCCCACAAGGGAGAGGTGGGTGCAGGGGCCCTCTCACCTTTCAGTTGGCGCTCCAGGGCAGCCACCTTTTCCCTCAGCCCCTCCTGGGCCGTCAGCTCGGTCTGCAGGCGTCCCATCTGCTCCTGCAACTCCACCCGCACCCGATTCACCTCAGCCACCTTCTCTTGGTCCTTGCTGCTCAGTGCCTGCCAGGGGGAGGGGTGATGACAGGGGATGGGGGTGGGTGAGGGACGTGCCATCAGATTTAGCCGTGATCCCTCCCCATGACCAGAGGGTGAGACCCTCTACCTGCTGCAGGTCTTCCAGGCGCCGCTGCAGGCTGTCCACCTGCAGGCTGAGCTGACTGGCCCGAGCCTGGGCCTCAGCTACCGCCTGCTTCTGCTGCAGGCAGGCACTCTGGGCCTCATCCCGGGCCTGTGCCAGCAACCGTAGTTTCTCCTCCAGTTGTACCAGGCGCTGTTGCTGAGACAGACGGGCAGGTGAGCATCCCTGGCCCTGGCCTGCCCATGCTTGCCCGAGGGACTAGCAACATGCGAGTGGCGAGAGGCAGCCTTCACCCTACAGCCTGGAGGCTCACCCCTTGGCCCTGCCTCCCAGAAATGCCTGCCCTGCCAGTCCCAGGGGCACTCTGCCTGCCAGTCCCTCCCTTGACCCAGCCACAGGCATGAGGGCCAAGCACGAGGCTGCCTGCTGGGAGCACTGGGCATGGGCTGAGCATTCAGGACCCCACTCCCCACCGCCACCCCACCCCGCCCCAAGTTGATAGGGCTGAGACCCCAAACGTTAGTCAGGTCTGCCTCCTTCAGACACCAGCAAGGAGACACCCCCCTCCCCCGCCCTGGCCCCAGGTACCCCTGTGGGCTGTGAGGAGACTGGCCATGTGGGGACATGGGGGTGTACCTCCTCCAGCCGGAACTGGGTCCTGGCCTTCAGGAACTCCTCCTCAGCCTGCCCTCGCTCGCTGAGGGCTGCCGCCTTGACTCGGCTCAGCTCCTGTGGGGTCCCGGCCCCACCCAGTCACTGCTGGGCCGTGCCAGCCCAGCCCTGTCTACCTGTACCTCCCCCTGCACCTGAGGTTCCCCATCTGCCCCCACCTGCTCCCAGTTCTCCCTGCATTCAAAGCTCCCTGTTTGGCCCCCACCAGCTCCCAGACTGTCACATGCACTGCCTCTGTGCCCAACTCTGGTAGCCTGTCCCATTGGCCTGCAGGGATCCGCACCTCCTCCAGGGCCAGCCGCGTGCTCTCCAGCCTCTGTACTCGCTCCTGCAGGGCCCGCTGGCTCTCCTCCAGGTGGCAGGTCATCAGCTCCACCTGCATCAACCCAGGTGTGTCAGGAGGCTGCCTCTCAATGCTGAGCAAGGAGGGCAGTGGGCACAGCTTGGGTCACCCCTGCACCCCTGGACGGCAAGCTCAGAACAGAGGTCCTGCATGGACTCAGTCAGCAGCCAGGGTGGGGGACACTATCAGGGGGCCCTAGCCACAGATATTGGGGTTCTGGGACTACGGGGACAGTAGGGACCTCTCTGACACGCAGCTGCTCCGAGTCTGCCAGGCTCTGCTTGAACCTCTTCCTCTCCAAGTCCAGGCGCTCTGGGGGCCGGGGCAGGGCTAGTCAGATCACCAGGGCCTGCCCTAGGGCCCGCTCCACACCCCTCAGGTCCTGGGCCCACCCTCGGCCTGGACGGCCCGCAGCTTCAGCTCCGCTGACGTGTTGGTCAGCTCCTGCCGGGCTTCGAACAGCTGCTCCTGCTGGGACTTCACCTTGCGCTCCAGCTCATCCACCTGCAAAGCAGCAGACGGTCCAGGAAGCTGGACGCCCCAACCCGCGGGCCACCCACCCCGGGTCCAGGGGCCTGGACTGTACCTGGCTCCGCAGGAGCACACCCTTCTCATGGGCAGCAGACACGTCCCTAAGGAGCTTGGACTCACGCTCGGCGGCTTCCTGGGGCCAGGAGGAGGAGCAGCACTGGTCACGGCCCACCCCTGCCCTCCACAGCCCCTCACCTGAGCAGCACCCACCTGCTGCTCCAGCCTGCGCTCCTTGGCTTGCTTCTGGGACAGGCTCAGCCGCTCCTGGTCAGCAGCCGCCAGCCGATCGCCCAGGTCCTGGGTCTTCTGTTCCGACAACACCAAGGCAGCCTCTGTCATCTGGAGCCTGGGATGGTGGTGATATAAGGGCCCTCCAGTGACCCCGGCATCCCATGGGCCGTCCACGCCCCCCTCCCCCACTGCCTCAATCCACCCCCCAGACACCCAGATGCCACTCCCTTGAGGGGTGGTGGAGCATGCTGGGGCATACGTGTGTACATAGGTACGTATGTGCACGTGCGTGCCCTGCTTTTATTTTTCAAACATTTTATTGGGGGCTCCTACAACTCTTATCACAATGCATCCATCCATCCATGGTGTCAAGCACATTTGTACATTTGTTGCCCTAATCATTCTCAAAACATTTGCTTTCTACTTGAGCCCTTGGTATCAGCTCCTCATTTCCCCCTCCCTCCCGGCCCCGTTCCCTCAGGAACCCTTGATAATTCATAAATTATTATTTTGTCATGTCTTACACTGTCCGACGTCTCCCTTCACCACGTACCCTGCTTTTAAGCAAAGAGCAACTCTGCTTCCAAGGAGCCTTCCAGGACTGGCGCCCCGCCCACCATTTCCTTGGACAAGGCGCTGGCTTAGAACCGAGCCACCCTCTCCTGAGCTCCCCCTCCTCGCCCGGCGCCCCTCCCGAACTGAAGTTCCCATGCCGCGTTCCCAGGCCTCCTTACTTGGCCTTGAGGGCGTTGATGATTGAGTGTCGTTCGTTCAGGGCATCCTGCAGCTGGCCCACACGGGCGGCGTTATTCCTGTGGGCAGAGCGCAGGGTCACCAGAGCCACCCAGCACTAGAGACCTCGGAGGGCCCCTCCACCAGGACGGGGGCAGTTGCTCCCTGCACCTCTGCCCTGGCCTCGCCTCGAGCGGGAAGCACCCTGCGGGTACCCTTCTTGTGGAAACACACTTGGCCTCCGCTTGTGGGCGGGCGCGAGGGTCCACTCACAGGGCGTCAGAAGTGGGGACCAGACGCCCTGCCCGCAGCCCACCTGCTGCTCCGCGCTATCTCCTCTCGCTGCTTGTCAATGGTCTCCATCAAGTCCACGAACTGTGGGCAGAGCCAGCGGGGGCCATGAGGGTGCTGGCCACCTGGCTGGGCCCGAGAGGAGGGTTCCCGGCACCCCTCTCCCCACTCAGAGGGCACACTGTACGCCCGGGACAGGGGGGCTCCGCGCGGGACCCAGAGGAGTAGGGGCGTGTGGCGGGCGCACCTGCTTGGATTTCTCCTCCCGCAGGCTGCGCACCTCCTTGCTGAGCACATGAGAGCGGACCTGGCTCTCCCGGAATGCCGCCTGCCGGTCCTGGTTGTGGTCCACGGCCTGCTCTGTCGGATGGGGCTACATGTCACCAGGGGAAGGGGACTGGAAGGCCTCCTCGGCCTTGGGGCAGCCAGTGGCCGCCCAGCACCCGCTGAGTGTCCTGGATTCTTGGAGGGGCAGGGAGAAGCCGCTCCAGGACAGAGTGGGGCCGACAGGTTCCCGCCCCCATGAGGGCGGGGCCTCTGGCCCAGTGAGATTTTCCTTCTCTCAACATTGCCTGCTCTCTCTCACTGGTCAGGTGACTTGGAGAGTTTTTGCGCCTGAGCCCTGCCCCTTCCCTAGGAGTTGGGTCTGCCCAGGGGCGCGCGGATGCGTACCCACGGCTCTGAGGATGTCCCCGGGGATATTGTTCCCAGCCAGCTCCAGCCGGCACAGCGTCCTGTTGCTGGGGAGACAGCTCACTAGGGCTCGGCCCCCGAGGAGGCCAAGGTTGTTCCAGCGCAGGTCTGCAGGGAGGCTTGTGGTCAGGAGGTGCGTGGGGTGGGGCCCTCCTCCCCACCCCGCCCTTCACACCCGCACTTTGGGGGAGAGCCAGCGCTGGTCGGCCTCACCCAGCTGCTGGAGGCTGGTGTTACTCTTCAAGGCCAAGGCCAGCTCCTCGGCCCCCCTGTGAGTGACCTGGTTATTGCGGAGGTCCAGCTGCCGCAGGACGCCGTTGGCCCCCAGGCCCGCGCAGAAGGTGGCGAAGGCCTCCTCCAAGGCGCCCAGGTTGTTCCACTCCAGGGTGAGGCTGCAGGAGGGTGGCCGTGAAGGTGTGGCTCATGCCCTCCCACCCTCACCTCCCTGGTTCGAGGCTGGAGGAGGGCCGCTAAGGCATACTGCAGGGGTGGGCCTCGTGGTCCACAGCAGCCTGAGCATGGGAGGGCTGGGGGCACACAGACCATTCCTCACCTCTGGATGGACTTGTTCTGCTTCAGCAGTTTCCCCAGCGCCTCTGCCCCCACAGCGCAAAGGTTGTTGCCCTAGGAAGGGAGAGGACAGGGCAGTCACCCTGTGGCCCAGGCCCATGGGACCACAGCCTGGAGTGAACCCTGGGGTGGGTGTTCGCTGTGAACACGCCTTCTTGGGGCTGGTGTGTCAGATTGCCAGTGTGAACCCCTGGTCCTCTGATTCCTGCTCATTTCCCTGCAAGGGGGCGCCGGGTGCCAGCTGTGAAGACTTACTGACCTGATCTCACCTGGGGGTGTCTGCAGCAGGGCCCCTCACAGGACAGCCCACCCCACTCCCTCAGCATGGGGACCCTGGGGGGCATGTCTGGGGCACGGGGCCCGCACCTTGAGGTCCAGGAGCCGGACAACTGAGTTGGAGCAGAGTCCCTGCAGCAACAGCCTGGCCCCTGCAGGAGGGACGGGGTGAGGAGTGGTCTAGAAGGCTGTGTGTTTGCCTCAGACTCGTTCCACTGGGAGGGAGATGTCAGGGCTTCTCTGCCGTAAAGCAAGCGCCCTTCTGTGTGGGAACTCGCTACAGGGGCTGCAGAACAGCCCAGGTGGTGAGGGGGTGGGTCCGGGGGCCCGACCCCATCCAGGGTCCCAGAGCCCACCGCCCACCTTCCTCGCTCAGCATGCAGTCTCTAAGCACCAGCTCCGTGAACAGCGTCTGGCTCTGCAGCAGCTGGCCCAGGGCCTCGCAGGTGTCGGTGGCCAGGGTCTGCGTGGCCAGGTCCAGCTGGCCCCTCCGGGGCTCTTGCAGCTGCCGCAGCACAGCCTCCTGAGGCTCTGCCCCGCGCTCCTGGCATAGCCGGCTGTAGGCACGCCGGAACTCTTCCATGTCAGGGTGCTCGCGGGGCAGAGGGCGGCCTACCAGGGCACGGGGGGCCCTCTCTCCCCGAGGGTCCTGTCTACGGTCCCCCGCCAGCTCACGTGCAGGAGATGCTGCCCCGGCAGGCACGGGGATTGGTGGAGACAAGTGGAGTCGCTTCTCCAGTCAAGAGAACCGGGTGTCGAGCGCCAGCCGGGTCGAGGTGGGGGTTGCCAGCTGGTGCAAGAGAGCGCTCAGGGCCGGGTCTTCCCAGCACAGTCTCTGCTCGCACGCTCCTCTGCGCCCCGCAGCCGCAACCCGTGTCCCAGCACTCGCGCGGCGGACGGCCACCCACACTAGCTCCCGCCGCGATGTTCCAGTATCCAGGAAGAGCGGGGCGCGCTGGGAAAGGGTGGCAAGGACTACAACTCCCAGAGAGCTTCGCGCAGAAGGGATGCTAACCAATGAAAGGGAAAGGGTGGGAGCCAGCTCCAGGTCCATTGGCTGCGAGCCTAAGGAGCGGGGCTCCTGGAGGGCGCGCTCATGGCTCATTGGCTGCGAACGTGGGGCGGGACGTCTGGAGGGCGTGCAGAATGCTCATTGGCTGGAGACGCGGGGCGGGGCTTTGAGGCGCGCGCGGACGGGCGGTCATGGAAGGACAAGGTGCTGGATTCCGGAAGGTGAGGGGGCGCGGGTGGGTGTCGAGCGAAGCGGTGACGCCGAGGAAAGGTCGGGTTCGAACTGCGGAGGTGACACCAACCGGTCCTGAAGCCAGGGGTCGGCTGGGAAAACGGAGGCCCCAGAGCAGCGCAGCCACGCCGAAGGCTAGGATCAGCCCTCGCCCTGGCCTCGGAACCTGGGGCGGCGCTCCCACGGGTGGCGCGCGCGTGGGCCATGCCTGCTGCGTGCGTGCCCCTGTGTGCACCCCACCCCCCATGCGCGTGCATACGTGCTTGTGTGTGCACGCACGTCTCCTGTCGTGAGGGCCTCTGCACCCGGAGTCGCTGCTCCGGTGTATGTGTGCATGGGTGTCACCCTCCATCCCCAGGCCTCCGAGCAGTTGGGGTGGGGCCACTGAAAGCCTGGGATCAGCCCAAAGAGGCACCAGGGGACTGGCTCTCCGGCCTCAGATGGGCTCCGCCACCACCTCAGGGAGCTGTGAAGACTCGTGGAGGGCCACCACCCAGAGGGCCACACCGCACCTGGGGACGACGTGCACGGCCCCTGGAGCCAAGGAAGGAGGCTCTTGGCTAGTTATGGGTCCTGAGCAGGGGCTGGCAGCAGAGGGCGCTAAGACCATGGCGGCTGACCAGGGCTCACGGATCTGTCTGGCTCAGATGGCCGGCCCTGCTGGCCCCCATGTCCACGCCCTAGTTTGGGGCCATTCTCCAGCACTGTGCTGCTCTGGGTCAGCAGTAAGGCCTTCTGGGGACTTCAAAGGCCCCAGCCCTGACCACCACTGCGCTCGTTGGAGTTCATCCCTCCCCATCTACCCTTCCTGCAAGGGTGACCACAAGGAGTCTCACGTCTTAAAATGCCATCCACACGCTGACCTGCTCTGATCGCCTTCTCAGGCACTGTTCCT